TATGATACATTAAATGATCGTGAGTTTGAGCCGGTCTGCGTTTCCTGATGAAAAAACAAACCGATGCTTTTTGTAGTTGTAGTACACCAACATGGATTAAACGTGTGTTTTTTTTTACCACAATGTTGGGGAAATTAATGGATAAAATGCACGGATTATGATTATTATTATTATTATTATTCCCACTCCGATCGGGACACTAGGTCCATCGTTTCCCCGCAGCGAGGCTCCCCCCGTTGACAGTTTACGTGGGCTGGGCTGGGTGCAGTGGCGGACTGGCCATCGGGACGAATCCCGATGGGCCGGTACCGAAGTGGGCCGGTCGGATAAGTCACTAGCACATCCCCCACTCCCCCCGTTGACAATTTACTAGTGGTACCGAAGTGGGCCGGTCGAAAGTCCCGGGCTGATTTTTAGTCCCAGTCCACCACTGGCTACATGACCGTATGATGCCCATATTGAAGCACCTAATTCCTAAACTTCTAACAGATACAACATAAACCGATCCTTCAGCCTCATATGAGCTCTCAGACAAGTTCAAAATTAAACTGTCATCGCTGTGTGAGCTTGCTGCTGTGTGCGCCATCGTGCGTTTACATGCAGATGCTGGGATCCTGAACGGTGCATCTGGAGCGCTTGGCCCGCAATGACGTCACACATAATTTGGCGGGATTTGAAGAATCCCCGAGAAGATCCAGAATATGGTCAACATTGAAGGGCAGATTAATGGTTATCAAAGTACAAATATCCAAAATCAGTTCAGTAACGGTTTTCAAGGGGACAATATTTACTCAAATTGATGGTTTTGGATGATGGGGGAAACTTGTGTCACAGGCTCTTTAAGTGCGAGCACACTTCATCATGAGGTTGGAGGACAAAGAGTAATTCATTACACCCTGACATTTATTTAAGAGCATCGAGCCATGAACCAAATTAAAGTCAAGGGACTCTGATTAGAGCATCCTTCAGGGGGAGACACAGGATAAGTAGTCTGTGCTGATCGTACATTCCTCTGTGTTGCTCTACACTTAATACAGACCACTTATTGTTCAATCACAGGAAAACGGCTTTCTTTATTTCTGTCCCCAGGGGGATTCTCGAAATGCCCATAAAAAGCAGACTACCCGAAGACTTTTGATTACAACTTATATCAAATCTGTAACTGTCCAGATGCCCATAAACTTGGTTTCACCTCTCTGAGTACATGTAGACATCACAGCTATGAATACCAATGAGCTAAGGTACAGTACAGGGTCCTACTGAAGGAGACTTTGACAATATGCAATGACAACGTGTTTTCAGCAGATAAACAGCTCTCCCTATTGTGTGGTAGTCGGAAAACTCAGATTTTTTCTAAGTCAGCCCTGAAAAAACGGAAACGTTGACTTCAATTAAATGGATTACGTCAACAAATTTCACAAAACTGTATTAGGTTAGTCTAATTATATTAAGTTGAACCTTAACCTTTTTAATTTAAATTTAATATTATTGCTTTCAACTAACCTAATACAGTTATGTGAAATATTTTAACATAATAAATTGAATTAAAGTCAACGTTTCAGATTTGTCATTGAGCGTTCAGAAACTCCGGCCCGTCTACACTACAGGCATCGAAAAATGCTTTCAACGCTTCGCCCATTCACTTGAATGGGGTGACGTAGAAGATTTTTAATCTTCGCCGAACTGCATTGTGGGGAGCATGGCATGGCTTTGCAAGCATCACGAGCATCTATCGGCATCAAAAGTTGAACAATGTTCAACTTTTGAGGCTCGATGCTTGGCATCAGCCAATCAAATCCTGTTTATGCAAATCGCACGCACACATATATATGGCCCGTCTCTGTCCGACCGCCAGAAAGTCAGTTATGTCATCGACCATGGGACAATAGAATCTGACGGTTCATCTTATACTCATCTAGAGCACGTAAAGAAGACGACGGACGGTTCTCTCATGTTTGTAAATACATGAACCATTGTCATCTAACGGGTATCAGACGAGTGTCCTCCCTGTACCGGACACTAGTTTCTCCTCTAAATTCAGAAAGTACTTGGTTGTCGCGCTAGAGGGGTCCGGCACCAGGGAGTCCTTGCCCACTCATAGCGGAAGTGGGCCTAGAGTTTGCCGGTTAACTTAGGTGTATGTCACAATACGGTCGTAAGCTATGTCTACACCGAGGCAAGGAGAAGGAGGTCCACTAGTAGTCTCGGCCTAGAGGGTGACGACGACGTCGTCCCGAGGCCTGGGAGTCGCTTCGTCTTCCTTTGCTCGGGAAGGAAGGCAACTGGCCGCGGGTCAGCGACAGCTCGACCTCTTCTCGTTGGGAGCCATTGTGTCGGGCCGGTAGTGTGGACGTGACTTTGTGTACTATCGCCACTGAACATGATTGATGATAATTTCATAATACAGTCTTTTTTAAGTGTATTGAGATACTAATCAACTTTCTTTATCTATAACTAAACTTCAAAAATAAAGTTCAATTATCATAACGAAAGATGATTGGAGTATTTCAAAAAACTTAGATTGGCGAGGTGGCTTACGACCTGAAGTTGTTGGGGTGGCCGCAGATGTGATGTCCGTAGTTTTTCACGAACTTCGACCGCCGACTTCGAACCGCTTAAAAACCGCTCGTTGCGCTGGTTCGTTGGTTAGTGTACTTAGAGGCGGGGGGCTTTATGTTTCGTTATCGTTACAATTTGCTCTATTGACCTATTATTTGAGAGTTTGTCCGCTTTTTTGATGGTCAAAGTGGGTGACAGAGACGTTCGGAGGGAGGTACGGACCAAGTAGCCAACATAGGGCCATTTATCAAGACAGCATTTCTTGGCCGCACTAACGTATGGCCTTATAGGAGCAAACCTTATACTCGCTTTAACTTGGACGCCAGACCGGAGAGGGTCGAACCGTGCGCCAAACCTAACCGGACGCGGAC